CGGCTGCACCAGATCAACATATACCTCAGCGACCGCATCTCGCTGCACCGCCGCCTGCCCGAGCGCTGGAACCCGCTGTGAGTCCGCATGTTGGGGCGGAGCCCCGTCTCGGAGCCCCGGGCCTCAGTGTCTCCCTCGGAGAAGTGGCGGCCGGCAACAGGGCTCTCTGGATGTGTGTGGATCGCGCGCCTTCTGGAATCTTTCTCGGAGGAGGGTTCTTGTAGGGGGTGGGGAGGCGAGAAAGTTAAAAAAGGGAAAAAATCCCAGAAATTGGCAGGTCTGTCACGAAGTGGTCTCTTTGCTCTCTTCTCCTCGAGGAGTTGTCATTCTGCCCTGGAAAGTTGGGGGTCGAGGCTAAGCGGACAGATTTAAGGAGAGGATCCCCTAGCATCCACAGGACAGCGCGGCTACGCATTGCTCTGCCTGGGAGACTTCTGCGGCCAGGACAGGCTCCATTCATTCATGTGTGAGTGCCAGGCCCAGGGAAAGAACAGGAGGGGAGGCAGCGACGGCAGGTGAGGTGAAAGGCAGCTCGCAGGCCCAGCCAGAGGCAGAAAGCCTCCTTGCCCTTCACTCCCTGGGCGTTGGAGTCCTGAGCTTTGGGTGGAAGAAGCCAGGAAGGAGCTCGAGGTGGGGCTTCTGGCCGTAGTCCAGCCCAACTTACTCCCGTGGGTGGTGCCAGACTGGAGGCTGTGTTGTCAGAGGCCTAGTTCCTGTTGGAGCTGCTGGCTGGGCGGGTTGTGCCCCGGCCCAGGTGAGGCGCAAGGACACAAACTGGCAGCAGGAGGAAGTCCAGGTGGCTACTGCCACCATTGCCCCTGGGCCTCCTGGCCTTCTATCTCATTTCCCTTGAGGTGGCAGGGATCTTCCAGGTCCTCGCTTAGGTCTCCTTCTTATAGATGGTGAGGAAAAGAGGGCTCAGAGAGGGGTCCCCTGTTGGAGTCGGTGGGGGCAGCCTGTGGCGTATACCAGGCATCTGCCACCCTTCTCCTCTCTGTGCCGTTGCTGCTTTATAGGTGTGGATATCGTTTCTGAAAGATAAGTGACTCACCCAAGGCCCCACAGCTGGAAAGTGGTAGAACTGGCCTTGGGGGGACTGTGGCCCTCCTAGCCACTTGGCACCATGCTGACCTCAGGATTTTACAGGCTTGCTCCATGGAACCATGACGAGAGAGACCATGAATGCTGAAATGAAGAGACCCCCAACTCTGCCCCCATGTTTGGGTGGACTTGGACTTCACCATCCTCCTTATTTGGGGGGATTTCCTCAGACCTAGCCTCATGCTTCTGCCTGAGCATTTTTCACTCTTCTTTTGGAGCAAAGCTTTGCTGGGATTGGTAGCAGTCCTCCCACTCAGCCAAATGGCTTAATGTATGCTTAGCTCCTTAAAACCCCAGGGGAAACTTTCAGGTCATACCCAGGGTTCAATCCCAGCCCATGGAAGACACAGTCCTCATTCTTTTGCTCATTAGCTCTGTGTTCTCCAGCAAGCTATTTAGCTTCTCAGAGCCTCAGTTTCCACATCTGCAAAATAGGGAACTCATAAGAGTGAGTTTCTGTCACTCTATATAAAAGTGAGTAGACAGGACACAACCTAGGAACTAATAAAACACTAATACTTGGGAGCACACTGTGCACTCAATTCTTATTAGTTTTTTTCACTTTTCCCTGTTGCCAAAGATATACTTTTCAGGTCACTTTTCAGAATCATCCAGGACTTGGTCATAAAGTTTTTTGTTTTTGTTTTTGTTTCCCCCTGGATCCAACTTCCTTTATTGTCCCAGGTTGTGAATATCTCTTTGAAACACTCTGGACAACCTGTGGGGCTTACGGTATTCCGTCTCCATGGTAACACAGACAGCTGCCCTGTGTCCTATCAGGATTTTCTTATGGATCCTGCTGTTGCATTGACCCTGGGAAGTTAATCCAAACCCAGCATGATAAGGAGTGTGAAATGCCTCCTGCCTCTAATTCCTGCAGCAAGGCCTGTTGGATTATTCTTGTCTAGCCAGAGAGGAAGGTGAGCTTGAGCAGTGTGGGTCTCTGCCAGCCAGGCTTTGAGGCATAATTTCAGTGTGGTCACTAGGGTCAGGGCCTTGGGTCGAGTCCCACTTTTAATATGGTTTATACAGGGATGAGGAACTAATCAGGGTCTTGAGATTTAGCCGGAGAAACTGAAAAGGTAGATTATGAGTTCACAGTTCGAGGGTGAGGTCCCCTGGGAGTTTAATAAGCAGAGGGGTAGTTAGGGTCCTTGAATGTTGCAGGAGGGAGGGCCCCTGGGAGCATCCAGTCAAACTAGAGAGGAAAAGTCACACCCCCCCCAAAGTCACACAGCAGATCTGAGGCAGAGCTGCCTTGCATTGCATTCCAGATCTTGTGCCTGTTCCTCCCTTTTTTGGATAGGGACAATTTCTCTGTTTACATTGTCAAAGCAATCCGTGTTCACTCTAGAAATGTTAGCATACACAGAGAAGCAAAAAAGAAAAAAAAAAATCACCAATAAAGTTACTACCCAGGGAGAACCATTGTTAACATTTTGGTGTATATCCTTCTAGAATTTTTCAGGTAGAGATATAGGTTTTGAAAAATATAAGCGAAGGTGTGTGGGTGAGAACATACTCAAATGTGAGTGTGTACATAGGCCCACCCCCACACGTGTTTAGTGAAAGTCTCTGCACTATAGTATATAAGCCTGTCACCAGAGGCAGGCAGTTGAGAATGACCAAGGTACCATTTGGTTTGGTTCTTCCTTGTGTCAGCAGGGCTTGGCACTGTGACCTTTTGCATAGGGCCAGACCATTAATGAGACGTTGCTGAAGTGTTGGCTTTTTTTTTTGAGTTGGAGTCTCACTCACGCCCAGGCTGGAGTGCAGTGGCATACTCACTCCATTGTCGACCTGCTGTGCTCCAGCAATCCTTCCACCTCAGCCTTCCAAGTAGTTGCACTACTGCGCCCAGCTAATTTATCTATTGTAGAGATAAAAGTTGCCGGGGCTGATCTCGAACCCGCGGGCTCAGGCAATCCACTCACCTCAGCCTCCCAAAGTGCTTGTATTACAGGCTGAGCCACTAAGCCCAGCTGGGGTTGGCCTTAATTATGTGAGAACCAGTTGTACAGCCCAGCCTCTCTGTGAATCTAATAATTCACATTTCAGTGGATTAGAGCACAGCTTTATTTCTGTTAGTGACAGGACTAAGTTGAGGGGAAGGTGGATAATGACTTGGAATCCTTCTATGGTAGTACAATCAGTATAAGGGCTTGCAACACTTTCACGGATAGCATCTCATTTGATCCTAGCAAGAAAGGGGATCTTTCACTTTGAGATGATAGCAAGCCAAAATGGGGAGTCGGATAACTGGGTTTGTGGCCCTGGGGAACTTTAAAAAAAAATACTGATACCAGAGACCTTCCCCAGAACAATTAAATTAGAATTCTTGTTGATATTACCTAGGCTGAGTCTGATGTACAACCGTGGTTGAAAGCTACTAGCCTAGAGTCAGGAGATTAAGATGAATGCTTTGGAGGGTATAGGTAAAAAACCAGAATTAGACAAAGAAAGGATCCATAGCAGGTCAAATGCAGTTGAAGCAAGTGATGACGTCAGTCTGTTGAGAGGTGTGTCACAAGGAAATGGTTGCAGATAATAAACTAACATTTGCAGGAAGTGTTAGGTTTCATAGAATACAGGGGCCATAAAGTGACCACGCTAGCATTACTCTCGTTTATATTCTCACTTTCTATGCTGGAGGGGGAAAGTGGAGTGACAGTGTCTTGGGCTGAGCATTTCCCCGGGCATGTCGCTGGGGCAGCCTTGCCTGCGGACACCAGCCATTCTCTGCTATGGTAGAAGAGCTGTGACCCACTGGCCAGGAACATGTGGTTAATACACAGGTGCTTACATTTCTTGACTGCTTGCTCTGATTTTAGCCTTATTAAACATAATTGCAGATGTGCGTCTGAGTTCGGGGCTCTGGAGCTGAGTGCTGGATGGCAAAGAGTCTTAAAATAGTCCTAAATAGGTAATTCAGCAAAAGTTAGTGTGTTTTGCAAGGGTTGCAGGAGGGAGTTGGTTAGACTTTCCTCCTCTCTTCCTTCCTTTCTTTCCTTCTCTCTCTCTTTTTTTGCAGAAAGATAAACTGCTCGTCTGTTTTCACAACATTATCTTTGGAAAAACATTACGTATAGTGTGGGCATTAGACTGATGTTTATTTTCCTTCCCCAACAAGGTTGTCAACTGAAGAATAGTTTATTAATTCTTATTAGACCCATCTTGTGGTTGTCAGAGTGGCAGTCTTTGAATAAGTACTTTAAATCCACAGAACATGTTCAGTTTAAGTTAGTATTTTCGTGATACCTTTTTTGTCATTTTTTTTTCACTTACCCTGTGTCCGTATGTTTTAGATGTGTCTCTAATAGGTATGTTGCTTGACTTTGTGTTGACATTAAAAAAAAAAAATCCAGGCTGACAATGATTGACTTTTAACTAGGTAGTTCTATCCATTTATAGGTATTTATTGTGCTTACGAATACTTTTGTCTGTTTAAAAATGTTTACCTTCCCTCCCCATTACTGAGAGTTTTGGATTCAATTGTGGCACATTATTTTATGCTATCTGTTACACTTTTTAAAATCTGTTTTTTCCTGCTACTTTATGAGATGATAGAGTCTTTGCTCTACCTTCTTGCTCCATTTTTCTCTCTCTCTACTAATTTAGCAGTTATATTATCTATGTCTAATCTTTAGTGGTGAATTTTAAAGTATGTATTTAACTCAAAAGAGTCTGAGGTTAATCAGTGACTATGGATCTTAGAATGCTTTAGCATTGATCACCTTCCCTCCCATCTTGCCCCAGTATTTTAATTGTCTTGTTTTGGTTTTTTTTTTGAGTTGGAGTCTCACTCTGTTGCCCAGGCTGAAGTGCAGTGGCATATTCACAGCCACCACAGCCTCGACCTGCTGGACTCAGGTGATCCTTCGGCATCAGCCTTCTAAGTAGCTGGGACCACAGGTGTGTGCCACTACGCCCAGCTAATTTTTTGATTTATTGTAGAAATAAGGTTTCACCAAGTTGC